CCCTGACCCCCAAGAACCCCCTAGCCGGCTGCTCCGCCCCCGTCAGGCCGCCCATCCCCGTGAGCCTGATGGCTCCAGTGGCGGCAGACCGTGTGACGCTGCAATAATCTTATCCATCCACCCCCCCTCAAGGCCGTCACCTGAAGTCGGCAACCAGGTCAGCGTCCTCCCCACCATCCCCTGCAATGCTGCTCGCCGCATCCTGCGCCTCAGAGCCGGACGCGCTCGACCCGCCGCCCATGGACGCACCGCCGCCCTCAAACATCCCGCTCTTCGCGCCCACCAGCGCGAGCGCGCCGGCGGCGCCGGCGCCGGCGCCGCCGCCGGATCGCTCGGAGCCGGCGTCGTCGTCGCTGTCCGCCGCGGCTGCTGCCGCGGCGCACCCGCGGCGCGCCGGCGACGCGCGTGCCTCCTCCTCTTCCTCCTCCTCCTCCTCATCGTCGCTGTGCGCGCCAAAACCGCGGCCGCCCTTGCCGCTCTTGCCGCCCTTGCCACCCTTGCCGCTCTTGGACCCCGCGGCCGGGCGCCCGCCGCGGCCGCGGCCGCGGGCAGGGCGCCGCTCTTCCTCCTCCTGCTCATCGCTGCCGGCGGCGCTGGGGACCCGGCTGTGCTGCGCGACCCATTCCTCCACGCGCGCCCTGCAGGGTACGCCGTGGAACGACGGCGTGGTGCGGATGCTTTGGTGTCTTAAGGGCGTAGGGTACCACGGATCCCTGTATCCCAACGGGATTTGTGGCGCAACGCCGCCGCTCACGCTTGCAGAACGCTCGAATGTCTTAAATAAACGTACTCTGGCCAGCGACATTAGAGAATTAAATGCCGGTTGGATCAGCGCGCACCTGGGCTTCACCGGCGAGCGCTTGCCGCCGCGCGGGCCCCCGGAGCCGTCGTCAGACCCCTCGTCCGCCGTATCCAGCGCCGCCGAGCCCCGCGCGCCGCCCCCGCCGCCGCCGCCGCCGCTGCCGCGCCTGCCCTCGGCGCGAGCCTCCTCCCCGGCCTCCGAGCCGCTGCCTGCCGCATCTGCAAGCAGCTTGGCGCCGACCGCCGCGCCGAGCCCGGCGCCGGCGCCAGCAGCGCCGGCAGCGCCGCCGCGCTGCAGGGCAGCGAGTAGGGGCTCGAGGGAGCCGCAGGATGGGTCGAGCGGCTGCAGGCGCAGCACCAGGTGGTCGCCGCTGCCGGGCTTTGTCACCGCCTGCGTGGCAGCGACGGAGGGAGGCCGGCCGGGGGTGCGGGCAGTGGTGAACACGCGTGTGACGAGAGTGTGTGTGTGTGTGTGTCAATGTGTGTGTGTGCGTGTGTGTGTGTGTGTGTGTGTGTGTGTGCGTGCGCGCTGGATGGCACCGCAGCGGACGGGCTTTTCCACGCCAGCACACTGCCATCGTCCCCATGGTCGCGCGCGACACTCCAGTCCATCACCCCATCACGTCACACCCATTGAGGGCCCGGTCAGTACCACTCATCTGCATTGCGAAAGTCCCCCCTGCCTGCTGACACCCATGGGCCTTGCCAACGCCCCTGGCCCCTGCCAAAGCCCTTGGGCCGCTCCAAAGCCCCTGTGCACCCCCGAAAAGTCTGGGCCACGCCAAAGCCCTCGGGCCCCGCAAAAACCCAGAGGCACCGCCGCACTCCCCGGGCATTGCCACAGCATCTGGGCCCTGCCACAGCCCCAGGCGGGACCGTCCCAAGCCCTGAGCCCCTGCACAGCCCCTGCTGGGCCCTGCCAAAACCCCAAAGCCCCGCCAAAGCCCCACCTGCATCTCCAGCTTCAGCTCGGAGCCGTCCGCGTGCCGCGTCTTCAGCACCATGCGCACGCCCGTCTTGGGGGCGCCGCCGCCCTTCATGCCGCCCTTTTTGCCGTGGCGGCCCTTGCCCTCTGGGGAGGCGGTGCCTGACATTAGGTCTGAGGGGCGCGTGCCCTCTGGCAGGCCCGCCAACCTGCGAGGCGCAGGCGTGGGGCGCAAGGATGGGCACGGATGGGTTGCGGGAGTAAAGGACATGGGTGTCAGTAAAGGACAACAGATGGGAGGGATTTTGCCGCTGAGCAGTTGGTGGTCGGCGGGGCGTTGCACAGGGCGCTGCGTGGAAGATGAGACGAGGCGTCACGTGCAGGACGTGGTGGTGCGTGCGCCTCTGGGTGGGTGGACGTCAACTCGAGCGACCCAGATGCCAGCAACATGAGCCCCTCACACGCCCCAACAAGAGCGCATTCCCGCAGCACCAAGGGATCTGTGCAGCCCCGATCACATCTTATCCAACTCCCCATCACAGGCGGCCCAAAATCACCTCTTGAAGTCTTTCTTGATCATGGCCCGGTGGTTGAACCCAAACAGCAGCCCCGCCGCCGCGTCGGCCCGCGTGATCTCGAGCTTCGAATCCACCTCCACCACCGCCGCCACCGCGTCCGCGCGCCACAGCGTCACCTCGAGCGCCGCCGCCCCGGCAGCGTCCTGCTGCGCCGCGTCGCCAGCCGCCTGGTGCGCGGCCGCGCCGCTGCCGGCGCCGCTGTCGGCGTCCTCTGCCTCGGCGTTGACCGAGACGCTCATCAGCGCGGGCCGCTCGCGGTTGCGCTGCTGCAGCGCCATGGCCAGCGCGGACGACTGCGCCGCGGTCTGCGGGGCGGGGGCGTGATGACGACGCCAGGTGCTTGCAGTTGTGAAGCGCTGGACCTCCAAATGCTTTGCTTTGATCCGCGCTGCAGCCCTAAACAGCAACACTGGCGGCCCACAGAACAGCCCAAGCAGTCCGAAACGCTCCGCGTCGGCGCGCTTCATAGCCCCCTACATCAACAAGCAGCCAGCGGGGGTTCAGGTTTCAGCCCCGCAGCCTGCGCCCCCACAGCGCCCCGTCACACCTCGCCGCCCTCGCCCTCCTCCTTTGGCTGCCTCACTCCGACGCGCCACGCGTCGTCGCCGGCGCCCTCCAGCGCGCGCATGCCCAGCGAAACCAGCAGGCCCGCCTCCCCTTTCGCGCTGTCGCGGTGCTGCTCCTCCTTGAACACGTTGATGAACGACGACAAAGGCTTGCCAACCAGCCCCTGCGCAATTTGAAGCAGGCAGCAGGCGGAGGACGGCGCGGCGGCGCGGCGCGACGGGGGCTTGTTGGGAGGGGCGGCATCGGGGCTGAGAAGCTGCGAGCCCAGCTCGGGCCGATGATGGCGGCGACCCAAAACGGGGCGGCCCTGCCCGAAGCAGGTCCAAACCAAGATAGATAAGCCAAACAGCCGATCGACCCCTTGCTGCCTGCGTGGGTGAGGGAAGGGCAGCGTTCGGCCGCGTGCGCCCCCCCCCCCCCTTCCCCGCCGCGCAGCGTGCCCCTTCACACCTGCGGCGCGAACCCGAACAGCCCCTTGGACGCGCCCGGGTTGACAGACACCACGACGCCGCCCTCCCCCACGCCCAGCACCATGCGCTGCCGGTCCAGCCGCTCTGCCTCCGACGAGGGCACCACCTTGACCACGTGCTGGACGCGCTCCCCGTCGTCGTGCGTCGTCATGCGCAGCGTCACGGGGACCTTGACGCCGTTGGAGCGCAGCAGGTGCACGACCGCGCCGGCGCGGCAGCTGGTCGCCGGCGGGACGGCGCTGAGGCTCTGCGGCGGCGACACATGCATATAAGTGGGGCGCCGTGAGATGGCAAACGTTGCCATTTTTGTTGTGAGCCGAGGCACCGCCTGCCAGCGATGCCTGGTGAGTCTCATGATGTTGAGAGGTGTCTTCGCCCCGCCACCGGGTTACCTTGAGGAAGCCGGCGTGAAGCTGCGCGTAGGGCGGCGGCACGATGGTTGCAAGGTCCATCGCAGCCAGCTGCTTCGCGGGCACGCCCAGCAGCGCCCCCAGGGCGGCGGTGGCGTAGGCAATGCGGCCGCGGTGGTTGACCACCATCAGGGCGCCGGCGGGCACCACACACTGCGTGGGTGTGGGCGACGGTGGGGGCGCCAAGGGGTGGTGTCAGCGCTGGTCACCAATGCCTTGAGGTGTGAGGGAGCCTTTGTTCGCGCTCAGCGGCCAAATGCTGCCGCCATGCGCGACAGCTGGCCCGCTTGTCTCGGGCCCGGCCATGGTGGCAGCTGCATGTACGTCCCTGCCCGCCGCGCCACTGCGTTGTGCATACAGCGCCCCCACCCTGCTTGCTGCGCCCCTGCCTCGCGCAAGCGGCGCCTTGCTTGATGCGCTCCTGCCGTGCACGGCACACGTGTGCAAGGTGTGCAAGCTGTGCAACTGCCTTTGTGCGTCACGCGCCGGCCCTGTGTTCTGCGCCCCTACCCCCCTCGGATCACCCGCGGCGCACCCGAATGTTCATGACGAGGATGCGCTCAGAGCCAGTGCCACCAAACTCCACGGTGATCTCAACGTCCACTGGAGGCAGGAACCTGACACACACACACACACACA